CGTGCTCTGTTATAACGTCAAGACAGTTGATCAGTGATCAGTTGTTGTTAAAGGAGGACGACCTGTATATTTCAGAAGACGTTTTTTAAGATTTGTGATCTTCTGACACAAGTGTCATTTTAAAAGAAGAATTACACAGGAAAGATGGCTGCTGAAAAGGAATCCACCCCCCTCTAGCATCGGTATTATTTTCACAAAGGGTAGTAGAGATTTTTCCTTTGGGGAAAAACTGGCTTTCCTTCTACGGGTGCAATGGCCAAGCATGTCCACCAGAGGGCCGAATTGTTGCTCTCTGTTTAAAGGTGCAGCTGCCCCATTGAGCCACCAGAGGGCAACCATCTACCTCTTTGCACCTACAATCCAGTGCGAGAGAAGTTCCCTGAGGATGTTTCCAGCACGTGATGGACTTCAGTTCTCCATCGGATACTTCTAAGTTTCTCCTAAGACAGTGGTTCTCAACCTGTGGGTCGGGACCCCATTTGGGGTCGATCGACCATTTCATGTGGGTCGCCAAGCAAGGCTGTCCGCCATTTTTTTTGTCTGCCATTTTTTTCCCCCTTTTCCGGCGGGTGCCTTACCTCCCTTGGGCTGGGCCAGCTGGTGGTCGGCCACTTGCCAGCTACGCCTCGGCCGGCGCAGAACCACGCATGTGTGGCGTTCCAGGGCAGGGAAAGTCCTCGACTTACGACCGATTGGGTAGTCCTCAACTTACAACCAGTTTAGTCCTCGACTTACAACCGGTTTAGTCCTCGACTTACGACCGGTTGGGGTCGCGGCATTAAAAAGGTTGAGAACCACTGTCCTAAGAGCTTGGAAGACAAAACCTCTGGTCCCAGTGACTGACCCACATTGGATCCTGCCCTTTTTTTATTTCCCACCAGAGGGCGCCCCTACTGCAGACCTTTGGTATAGCCAGCCTTTTTCTTTTAAGGTGCACATGCCAAAGTAGGACACCAGAGGGCAGACCTTTCCCACTCTTTGGAAAAGCTGGGAAAGGAAGGGAGGGAGGGAGGGAGGAAGGAAGGAAGGAAGGAAGGAAGGAAGGAAGGAAGGAAGGAAGGAAGGAAGGAAGGAGAGTGAAAGGGAAGAAGGAACAAAAATACAGAGAAACTCATGCTAAGGCTTGCAAAAGTCTATGTCTGGATGCTTTGTGGTGCTATGGTGGGCCCTACACCTGCATTAAGATTTTTTTCCCATAAGAAGAACCCACAAGGAACAGGCAGCAGAACATGACAAAAGAAGTTAATTTTATTGATAAAGAAACCAGCACATTCACACCTGCTTTTCAAGCATGGATCACCTGCCTGTAATTCATCCAGGGCTACTTGAGCAATTCGCATCCCATTGCAGATTTTTTTTTTTTCCAAAGAGAATTTTCTTTTCTTCTTTCTTTCTTTCAACAGATGCATTCCTCTTGGGTTCTCAGGAAATCGTCCACAAAGACCTCATTCTTGATGTTGTAGCTCAGGGACGTCCAGCTAATCAGAGGGTTAGAAATGTCAATGTTGTTCTTGGACACTCTAACCAAAGATGGGTTCAGCACAAAGGGCCACATGTTGACCTCTGTCATCTCCCCCACAAAGGATTGGGCGCTGTCAAACCCCCCTCCGAAGGAGTCCTGGTCCTGCCCCAGCACGATGGAGGCCTCCTGGCTGATGCTGTAGCCCTTTTTCAGACTCCGCCGAGGAAAAAGTTTTCCATTGAGCCAGAACCGGACCAGCCCATTGCTGGAGTCCCAGGACACACAGATCTGATCCCAGCTCGGTTCAACCTTCTGAGGAACCTTGAAACCTACAACGGAACCCCCAACGTAAATGGAATATTCGTTGAGATCGTGCTTGAAAATCAGAAAATCGTTGCTATTTGACCGGGTGGCGTAAGAGAAGAGGCCATACGAACGGGACAGGAGGGTGTAGTGTCTCAAACAGACGGTCAGCTTGGTCAAGGGTTGCTGGTTGGAGATGTCGAGATGCACAGCGGCCGTGTCAGATGATGTTGGGAAAACAAAGACCTTGTTCCGGAGATCTAGAAGGAGAGAAAAGAGGAAACCAGCCTGAGGACTTGTGGAAGAGAGCTAATTTCCCACAGGCCCATTTTGGCCCAGCCGAGAGGAAAACAGAGAGGCCATCAAATTAAATCACTGACTCTTAGGGGGTTGTTCCTCTCAATTCAAGTACAGGAAATGGGGGAAAGTTTGAAACATGCACCGGACACTGAGGAAGGGAGGTAGGGAAGAAGGAAGGAAGGAAGGAAGGAAGGAAGGAAGGAGAGTGAAAGGGAAGAAGGAAGAAAAACACAGAGAGACTCATGCCAAGGCTTACAAGATTCTATCTGTAGTTGCTTTATGGTAGTACTGTGGGCCCTGCACCTGCATTTAGGATTTTGTTTTCCCATAAGAAGAACCCACAAGGAACAGGCAGCAGAACATGACCA